ACAGCTGGTTTCTACAAAGATGGCCTCCTCATCAGGAGCAGCTCTACAGGAGAGATGACCATCCACAGTGTTTCCAAGTCTGATGAAGGACTCTACAAGTGTCACATCTCTGGAGCTGGAGGATCACCAGAGAGCTGGATGGCTGTCAGAGGTGAGACATGACACTGTTTAAAATGTCAGTGTTCAACTTGTGCTCCAGCAGCTCTCAGAGACAACCTGTTACATACTGTTAATACTGTCATGATGTTACAGCAGATATGTTCTCTTGTCTCTGCAGCTCATCACAGATATATTTTTCTCTTTTCAGACCTCTTCATACATGTCGTCCTCGTCTTAAGGACGGTGTTCACCATAGTGATGGTGCCTCTGCTGCTGCTGCTGGTGGGACTGCTGCACTGTGGGAAACTCAGAGTTACAGTTGCACAAACATAACTGATACTCATGTATAAAGGTAAAAGGTCAAGGTAATGAAGCAGAGAACCTCCCATCATGCTTTGGGTCTGGAAAACTTGTCAGGACAGAAACAAAAAACAATTTAAAAGTGATCACTGAGATTGTTTAACATTTTATTTCCATCTGTTTTTACCTCCTCTGTTTAAGAAGTCATGTTTAACTGTGAGGTGTCAAACTTCTCTTCATCACATGTTGATACTTGCAGCAGCTGTGAGACTTTCTCACACAGAAAAAGGTTCAAAACCACAGACAGCCTTTTGAAAAGCTGAAAGGTTTCTCAGTATGTTTTATTTTAGACTCAACAGATGCTGGTGATAATTTCAGCTTCTTAGACACAAACCACACAAGAACATGTAAATATTGTCACAACCCAGGTCATTATCTTTTGGTATTGATGTGTTGTATAAGGGGCTGTTCACACCAACGCGGGTATTTATAAAACCGTGACTCTTTGCTCACGGTTTGGCCTTTCATCCACACGTCACCGCAGTTTTGGGCCCCTGTAACCGGAGTTATTTGTAACCGGAGTCCAGGGTGAACTTTTTGTAAAAGTCCGGTGTCAGTAGTCATGTGTGGACAGGATAACTGCAGTTATTTTTTCTTGTCTCCATTGTATGACAGCTGTGTTATTACCCGATCCAGTGTGTGCGAGAGACGATTTGAGGATGGACCTAAACAAAATACTGCTGCTATTTAGCAGCATATCAGCACTTTGTAGCTGTATCATACAACTTACGCCAGGGCCACACTGCCAATGAAGTGCTGCGAAGTGCAGTGCACTGAAATTCTTGCACGAGCCCGTTCACATCAGATGCGCATTTCTCCACGCCGGTCGACAAGTGCTTCTGCTCCCAGCTGTTGTCTCTGTCACATTTGGGGCTGTTTTTCCATCTTGGTTATCTCTCTCTGTTTGCGTGTGTGCCCCAGCCCCCACCCCCTATAGCCGGCCCACACTCTCTCTCTCTCTCTCTCTCTCTCTCTCTCTCTCTTTCTTGTGTGTGTGTGTGTGTGTGTGTGTGTGTGTGTTCATCTCTCTCGCACTCTGTTTAGATACCACTGATTAATATGTATATAAACACACACACATATATACATCGCATTTGTCAAACGGGGTGTTTTATTTTGAAATTTGTTTTATTCTGAAAATTGACGGGATGCTGTTGTTGTTCCTTTGTTTGACTTACTGCCCGGCTTGACACATTCGCTCGCGTCTCGCACAGAAAATAGACCAGACGCCGAAATGATCGCTGCAGCGCCGGCTGCGGAGCTGGAGGAAACTGGCTTCGCTTCGAGGCTATTCGCAGTGCTTCTGCGTCCGGTGTGGCCCTGGCGTAGATTTTTTAAAAACTGGAGGCCAAAAAAGTTCGGTTTTAAAAATACCCATGCTCGTGTGGACTAGGCCTTAGTCTGCAGTGATCTGTCAGATGTTATCTCTCCTCCCCTCAGAGTGGGTGCATGTGGTGGTTTGTGATTGTATGTTGCAAGGCAGGTGTGTGCTGATTGGGCTGTTGGAGAAGCTTGCTGTCACTGGATCGGTCCACTGCAAGACAGAAGATTTTTAAACCACCAGCTGACAGAAGCTCTTCCCTCCTTTTCACTCTTCCACCTCCAACAGAGCCAGAACTAAGACTGTGATTGTGAAATTGTTTGTGAGTACCTGCAGGTAGTGATGGTGAAATTGAAGCTTCATGAAGCAGTGAACCACTTTGACACACCTGCTTCAAGAATGACACACTGCTTCGAAGCATTTCATACAGTCAGAAGAGTGACATCTGCTGGCTGTGTGTCAGAACTGCATCTAAGTGGAAGACTGGAAAAGCGTCAAAGACTGCCTGTAACGAGTCCTCGCTCCCGGTGGTCACTTGATTGTGGGCGTTCCGAAGCAGGGATTGAAACGCTGCCTTGGAACACTTGCGCTTCAAAAGATCGACACTGTGCCGAGCAAACTGGCTCGAGCGTAACATCACTACCTGCAGGCAAAAACTTCTCATTCTGATAAGCTAGTGTGTATAGTCTGATAACCTTGTCATTTAGTAAAGTTATTTGGTCAGTTTTGAGTAGAGTTAAGTTTTGTCCAACTGTTAGTTATTAGTAGATTTTCTTGTATTCTTTTGTTGAACACTGTAAATAGAGCACTTTGAGCAGTTTTACTAAGAGTAAGAAGCCCTTTTTGTCTGGCATTGCCATGATTTTCTTTCTTGTTCTGAATGGTAGGAGTGTAGCTTAGCAATTTGCCTTTTGTTTTACATTTGTTTTGCCAGGTAACTTGAGGGACCATGAGTATATTTTTGTTTGTTGTTTTGGGCACTGCTCACTAGTGATGGTTAAATGAAGCCTCATGAACCATTTTCTTTATTTTCTCACTCCACCAGATAGCACTCTTGGTTTAAAGAAAAGGCTGAAGGAATGGCAATGAAATGTGCTTTCAAACCTTTGTTGAACAGACAGCGCCATCTAGTGGCTTCAGAAAATGAAGACAGTGGTTCATGAGGCCTCATTTGGCCATCACTACCTCACCTCTGAAGCCAAATAAACTGTTTGCTTTGTTTAAAAGGCTGTGTAACAGGCCTATCTTGGGAGTGGGAAGAGTGGGGAGCCGCAGTTACAATATGTATGTAGAGGAAGTGGTCAGGAGGCTGTGTGGAACCAGTATACACAAACACTGTAATCTATCTATCTAATCAAACATACAGTTATGCTCATAAGTACCTTAAACATAGCAATAAAGAAAATACTTTCATGATCCCCGTTCAAAAGTTCACATAATGTAGTTTTATAAACTAGGATCAGGAACAAAGACCACACCTGAAACAAATCCCATTTCTACCCAAAAGAATTTATGCACAACTGATGCATTCTCTTTCTCTTCAATACATTTTTCACACCAACAGACCGTGTGCGTCACATGTAATCACAGGCTTACCTCAATCTAAAAGTAAGACAAACGCTAGCTTTGATTGTGTCAAATAATCAATTCACCATGAATCCAGATCTGCAGATCAATCTTTCTGATCCAGACAAAATCCACCCAAAAACAATTATCCTCGAGTTATTATATTCCCGCGGCAGAGCCACAAGCATTCCACAGCTCCCATTACTCGGTCTCACCAGCTCCTCCATTGCATCTGCCCTACAAAGTCTCTCCAACTCCGGATCGACCCCCTCCTCCATCCACGAGGGCAAAGAATTGTGGTTGCCATTGGTATGGCTGCGCCTGCATGTTCTCCAATTGCTCCTGACAGTTGATCGCTGCGCACTTGCGGCGCGGCCTCCATGCAACAGCATTCTTCACATCACAATCACAACCAGACATCAGAGACCAGACAGTGGACAAGGAATTCCCTTCAACTGCAGCCACAAGCCAGACTGTAACTTCATGCCTACGGAACTTCCAGCATCTAGGGACCCCCGCCAAAGACATCCACATCTAGGATTACCGTCTGTGATGTCACAGTGACTCCACCCCCTCAAGGAGAGCAGCCAGTACAGTTAGTTCCCACAAGCAAGGAGCCAGGTTGTATGGTTTGTTGTTTGGCAAACAGTGATTTCAAATCTCAGGTTCCTTCTACAAATGCTCATTTAGTACGTATTAAAGGAAAGTAGCCATTGTCAGCTTCAAAGAAAGCTATCTGTAACGATCTTGTCCAAAGCATACCCTCAGCCCATCTTACTCGTCAGTGTCAGCTCCCCTTTTCCTCTCTAGATGTCCATTCGCAGTTTCACCATCTATTGTATCCATATAATAATAATACTAAAGAAAATTTCATTTTCTACCCATAACTACTTATTGGGAACCAGCTTTCCATTAATCTAGCTACTGGCAGTTACAAACTGCTACATACATTCTCACGTTAACCAGCACTTGCAAAAAGGTTTCTGCTCTTATGGCAAATGCTTGTCACCCACTTCTGACCCTCTCTGCACTGTGTCCATTCTCGTTCAGGCTACTCATCCCCCCAGTCAACCTCTCTGTAGCATCTGTGGTCCTGCATATTTTTTGGCTTCCTGCAGTGCTCCAAATATGCCTGAATTAAGTAAATCAAAACTAGGGTTGTCAAAAGTATCAATACTCTGAAAAGTATCGATACTCAAACGCTGTATCCGGACACAATACTAATTTACAAAAGTATCAATACTAACAGTGCACGCCACCTCAGCGCCTGTCGGGTGCATGCGACGGGTCCGACGGACACACGCTGTGTAGGCAGTGTCTGGCAGGCACAGAGCCCTCGCTGCAACCCAGCTTGTTGTCATCGCTGTGCATGCATGCACACATTTCTGTTGCTGTAACATGGCCAGCACGGCTGCAGGAGGATCAGAGCAGCCAGTTTTGGTCAAAAATGATAATGGATAAAGCGCTCTTTGGAAATATTTAGTGAAGTGATCACAGCACACTGCAGACGGCAGGTACAGCCTCTCCCCTCACTAGCAGCTGAGCAGCTGGTGTCGCCAGCATCAAACTAAAATATAACTTCTAACGTTAATGTGGGAGCTAAGCAGAAAACTTTATCAGCCATGCCCGTCTGTAACATTAATAGACAATGTACAGGACAACACAATTATGTATGTCTGAAAGGTTATGTTAACTGTATAGCACAGATTGAAGCTGAAAAAACGTTTGGTTTCTCCCGTGACCCCTGGTTCTCTGATCACATAGTGAGGTAGAAACAGGAGCATCCTGAGCCTAAACTACCAACTCTATTTGATCAGCAACGAAAATATGGTGCCAATTCACCAGAATCACAGAAAATAAACAGGGCTGTAGATAAATACATTTGTATGGACAGATCTTGTTTCTGGTTGTTATTTATTTTGGGGGGATTTTTTGTTGTTATCATTGATGTTACTGTTCTGATCTTTATTTAAAAATGACATGCCTCTTAATTTTTTGCTGCTGTATCAAAAATGGTATCGAGTATTTAATATTTTCCTGGGTATCGATATCGAGTTTGAAATTTTAGTATCGTGACAACCCGGCGACCTTCTTTCGACTGTTTTACCTGGGTTCTCTCTTCACATGGAGCCACCTTAACCACTTATAGGCAGAAAATTCTAGACCACCTTTAACTTTCAGGGCACTGTTTTCTTTAGTCAGCATTACACATGTATTACGATCCAAATGACATCCAAACATCACATCTCAAAGCTCTCTTGTGGGCTCTATCCGAAGCTGAGTTCATGAGGAAACAACTCCCCCACTCAGTCTCACTCCCGGGATCCCTCCTGCGTCCCATCCTTTGACCAACACATCCATCCCCAGACACCCAGCCTTCATCCCTTAACCCACAATCTGCCATCTCTTCATCCCTCACTCTTCATCCCTTGATCCTCATCCTCTCATCCCTAACCTTTCATCCATTCATCCCTTGACCCTCATCCCTTCATCCCTCAGCCCTTCGACCCTCATCCCTCATCCATTTGACCCTCAACCTTCATCCATTCATCTCTCAACCCTTCATTCCTCAACCCTTTGACACTCATCCATTCATCCTTATCCTTTCATTCTCTAATCCCTCGATCCTCACCCCTTCACAATTCCCCTGAACCCATAATCCATCATATGCAGTACACCATTCGAAATCTATATCTTATTGGTGTGGTCTTTGTTAGTGAATCCTTAGTTGTCAATACTATGTATTACACCCTTCAGCATCAGTGACAGCTTGCAGTCTGGTTTGTGGATAGGACCCTTTATATGACCTTCTTACCCCTTATACCCTCTCAGCTCTGCTATCAGCTATTTTTTTAGTCCCCCAGGCAAGATTTAAGACAGAGGGTGGTAGGACATTTGCCAAATTTTTTGTGTGTCTTTCTTTCTTTGTTTTATGCTTTCATTAATTTTCTTATCCTATAATTTTTTTCGTCTCTTTCATTTGTTTCCGTTTTTAGCCGCATTGAACTTACTCCAATCTTGTAATTGCACTTTGTATTATGTTTTTATGCCTGTAAAGCACTTTGTAAACTTTTTGAAAAGTGCTATATAAATAAAGTTTATCATTATTATTATTATTAATTCATTAATTTATTCATTTATTTCTGTATTTATTTTCTCAGGTGGTAAAGCTGTCCATTCTTCTTTGCAAAAAGCCTCCAGGTCCTGTAAATTCTTGTCTTGTCTTGCATGAATTGCACGTCACAGGTCCTTCAACAGTTCTTTGGCTTTCCCCATTGCTCAGTATCTTGCAAAGTCAGCGAAGCCCTTGCTGAAATGAACAGGGGTCTTTTAAAAGCTAAGCAACTCTGACTATTTATACACAGACACTTATTACAATCAAACAAGTCACAGTCGTGGACACTTCCCCTTGAAAGCCTTTTGGTTGATTTCAGTTATTGTTATGATTGAAAGTGGACACACATAATTGTGTGATGGCTTCCCCTGACCACTATCCTCAAATAAAAGAATAGTTTTCTGCATGATAATTAATGATCATAGTTCTGAACAAATGGACAATTTTCAAAACTTTTGCCTATGGTTTGTACATTTATGAGCACGATGTACATAAAACAAGACAATGGAACTGTTAACAGTAAGACAATAGTGTTGTGGAGCAGAGTGCAGAGGGTTCTGGAATAAAGTTAAGAGAAGTTTGATGGGATTACCAATTCTGCAAATCATCAAACAGTGTACAAATATCATGATGTAAATACTCACTGAACAAACAAAATAAACACAGTTGAATGTTGATATTTGTTAAAGAAAATGTTATAAATGTACATCAGCATCAGGACTCTTGAAAATAAACATATGTATATATATATATATATACATATATCAGACTATATCAGACTTTTATTTTTTGGCTTTTTAGCACTTTATTATAAAAACATGACATATAAAATTCTACATGGAATTACCAATGATACAAAAGGTAGAATAGTTAAACACTTTGAAGAAGATCCAGAAGTCAGCTATGACATGAATACTCTGCTGTAAATGTACATCTGTGTTCCACTTTAAAGAAATCAGAGAGATATTTAAATATACATTTATTGTGAATATACTGATTAAAGGTATATTGGCAGCCTGTTTTAATTTTAGTTTTAGTCTATTCTTTGTGTCAAACAGTCATTTTAGTTTTTATTAGTTTTAGTCACGTTCATACTCTTTTTGTCTAGTTCAGTCAACTAATAGTCTGAGCATTTTAGTCTTATTTTAGTCAGAATAATCCATGACTATTTTTGTCTCGTTTTAGTCGACGAAAACTGATGACATTTTAGTCTAGTTTTAGTCAATGAAAATTGTATTTTAGTTTCTTTTTAGTAATGCAATTCTGTTACCCAGTCAATATAGTATAAGTACCTAGTATAGTATAACCAAACCAAAATTTTCTTTTCTAAATTAACTCCCAGTTAGAGCTAAATATATATTTAATTATACAACAGTTAGTTCCGACCGAGTAATTTGATTGGACGAGAGGCATTCCGTGAGTGCTGATATAGAGTATAACATCACTGGGACTTGTATCAGTAAAATCACTCTGCTCACAGGTGTTATAAATATAAATACAACCGTTAATTAACCAACTATCACACTCGCTACATTGACACAAACTGACACTATAGCGTTACACCAAGAAGATGGATATTTTCCCCAAAATTACATTTGAATTAAATTATGAGTGGTCGTCAGGAGAGGACGAGGAAAAGGAAAGCCAGGACTCTTCTGTGCAGACCTCCAGGTGTGTTTGTGTAACATCAGCCGACCTCGACAAACTGGAGAGGAGCAAAAATGAAGTGAACACGGTCAGGAATGATCAATGATCATCTGATGAGGTACTGATGAGGATGAGGGAGACAGGAAGCTGAATCTGGCCGTGCCAACATCCAGGTTTGCCAACGTCTCATCAGCCGAACTGGACGAAGTTACACAGTTGCAGATCAATGTAAATACAAAGTAGCTTGTGAGTTCCTGGCGTGTGTGCTGCGTTGCCGGGCAACAGACTGGGGGAACTATTTTTTTTTTTTTTTTTCGCGGAGCTACATAACATACTTAAATAATTTATTTTATCACCTTTTGTTAACATTTCCTTCCTCAGCATTGCTGTTTAAGCTGTTGTTGAACTGTTGTATAAAAGCAATATCACATGAGAGCGAGTGATGTTGTACTGTATATCGTCACGGCTGTAATCTGTCTGCGCAGTGCAATGCACAGCCTAGGAAACAGAAATACTGCAAAATAATAATAATAACTCGACTAAACATTATAACGTTATTTCATCTCATCTCGTTTTGGTCAACAAAAATGAAGAGACATTTTAGCAGAGGTTTTATTTTGTAAACCACGTTTAGTCTCGTTTTTATTCGTCAACAACGTTGCATTATATATTTAATTATAGTTATGGTCACATGACCACCATTTACGTTGCGTCTTGTTTTCGTCATGTGATAAAGGTTCGTTGACGACAATATTCAGTCATACTTTTCGTTGACGAAAGCAACACTAATAAAAGGTTCTGAGTTATATTAACTAAATTTTGACTTTTTTTTTTACTTTTTTTTAGCCTGTATCTTTATAACAGTTTCATATATCACAAGTCAGAATGCTATGTTGCCTAAAAATGAATAAAATAAAACTGAGCTACAGCACTTTAGGTGATTACAAATTTTGAACAAAACATTTTGCAAACTGTTAAATGCACCACAAAAACAAAAAAGTGTAAATGCTGGATTTCATATTCACAGGATAGGTGTGACTCATTTGATTCCAAATCAGATCCAAGAGACAGAATACATTTTCAGCGATTTTAGATAAACACTGGAAGATTACTTGGTGTTTTAAAATTGCCTGGATTACACAGGAGTAATATTTTCTGTCTTCAACTTCATGGCTATTTCCTGTTAATGAAAAAAATGGTGTTAATGTTGTTTTACTGTCGTTAAAAGATAGAGAGAGAAGTTATCACTTGCAAATTATGGCCAAATGTATGTGGACAACAGAACAGAGTGTGTGGACACAGGGACATTATGCAATGATGTGCTGCTCTAACAGTCTCTACTCTTTTGGTTTCGGTCTTTCCACTAGATGTTAAACCTGCTGCAGGGAATTACTTGCACTCAGACACAAATGGTGAGGATGGTAACTAATGTTGGTGACAAGTCCTGGCTCACAGCCTGCACTAGAGGTCTTAACAGGTCAGACCTGTGACGCAAATCATACCCAGTTAAAATCATACTCAGTCTAACCAGGTCTGTTGGAGTCTTTTTTTCCTGCCTCAGTTCTTAGGTCTGTGTGTAAACCTCTTTTTTTAGTAAAGCGGATTGAAATGATCTGTGTGTACTTAATATCATCTGTGATCATGTGGAATAACATAATAGAAATCATTAACTTCTACCTGTTGCCCATTTGGCTGTAAAATATTTTGTTGATGTAAAATGTAGAATGTTTTTGTTAATAAATACAGTATATGGCCAGAAGCATGTGGACATACACATCTGTCCACAAACTTTTGGCCATATACTGTATTTATTAGTGTTTTAAATGTGAGATAATGTGAGACCTCTCCAGTGTTGCTGTAGACGGTGATCAGCAGTTCTTTTCCAGTGCCCCAGGATTTCTGTTTCTGCCACACCAGGTCAGTGGGAGGATTGTTTCTGCCAGGATCATCTGAAGACCAGATCTGCAAAAAGGGTCACAGATTTAGATGACATACTCCACTCTAATATATATATATATGTATATATATATATAGCCTGCATGGAATTTCAGTCACAGTTTTTTCAGTTAGAGGTAGAGTTAAATAAATGACAAAGAACACAATCATGAAACACTCACAGTCACAGTGTTTCCAGCCTCGAGTTTGAATGAGGAGAAAAATTTGTACACGATGGGTTTTCTGTCGTTGACCTGTATTTGTAATTCCCAGCCTTTGAATGGTTGGTCCTGACAAAGGAGCATGGAGCGGGAGAGAAAGGATGAGACAAAGAGATACTAGGTACATTTACATCTTCTCCATCTTCACAAAACATCTTGAATGTAACATACAGTAGTTTTTACAGTGTGTGACTCAGCTTGTTCAAAGTGTTTGTGGTTTACTGAGTCATGGCAGCATCACTGTCTGGGTTTAAATGACCCTGAATGCACTTGGTTTTTCACTTACTGTACGTGCTTATATAGAACTCACACCGTGTTCATCCACACATAACAAACTGACCTTGTTAGATACATTGATGAGACAAACATAATTGTCCTTTAGGTCAGCCTCATCCACTTGCACTTGATGACATCAGTAATTTGAGTTTGAGCACTCTAGTTTTTGAATTTGGAAGAGAGTTGTTTATCTTTCCTAATATTTATGTAATAACATGTATGAATTTTGAAAATGGGTGTAGTTCCCCTTTAAGTTTAACATACAGTAGTTTGTACAGTGTGTGACTCAGTTTCCTGGGAGTCATTTTGTTTTATTTGGCTGTGGTAGAATCACTATGTAGGTTTGAATGACCCACTGGAATATCCCTGGATACACTTTCCTAATGTACAGCTATGAATCTTACTGCACATGCTCATATAGAACTCACACAGTGTTCATTCACACACAGCATTACCTTATTGGACGTGTTGCTGAGACGAACATAACTGCCCTTCAGGTCGATGTCACTCACAGTGATGTTTCCCATGGCTGAATCCTGACTGACCAGGTGAGTCTGCTGCGCCTGGAGATTACTCTGAGAGTTCAGAAGCGCTAGCATTCGCCTTACTTCTAGCTGAGAGAGAGGCAACACACACACACACACACACACACACACACACACACAGATGGGTGTTAAGTGTTAAGCAATGGATACAATCAAATAACAGGAACAAAACAGAAGTGACAGTAGAGGTCAGAGGTCATAGGCCTTTACAGTGGACCCACCCTAATTTAAATGTAAGTCTAAAATCATGATCACTAATCTGCTGCTGCTCAAACAGTCTCAACTCTTCTGGTGTCAGCCTTTCCATCAGATGTTGAACCTGCTGCAGGGATCTGCTCTCATTCAGACCAAAGAACATGACTGAGGTCCAACACTGATGCTGAGCTCGCAGTTGGCGGTTGAGGTCAGAGCTCTGTGCAGATCAGTAGATTTCCTCCACATCAAACTGGTGAAACTCATTTCTTCATTGACCTGGCTTTGTGCATGGGGACAGTGTAAAGTTCAAACAGGAAAGGCTCTTTCCATGAGTGTTGCTACAAACATGAAGAATGTCATTATCTCCAGTATCATTGTATGCTATGGCATTAAGGTGTCTCTGAAATGGAACTAAGGGGCCTTGACAAACCCCACAAATCAGACCTACATACACTATGTAGGTGGACAGGTGTGTGTGTCCACATGCTGTTGGTCATATAATGTGTTAGTCAACAAATGTGATGGGATGTGATGTGATGTCAGACCTCTCCAGTGTTGCTGTAGATGGTGACCAGCAGTTGTTCTCCAGTGCCCCAGGGTTGCTGGCCATACCACACCAGGTCAGTAGAGGTCTCAATCCATACTTTATAACCTGTAGCCCATATCTGAAAAGAGGAAACTTCACAGATTTACCATACTAGAAGATAATGTGCTAGATATCGACATGTATTAGAGTTTGACAGTGTAAGAACAACTTATACCTTATGTTAGAGATGCTTGGAACTATTTTATTGTGAAGTAACTTGAGTTATTGA